GGAGTTAATGGTGCTCTCCAACAGGTCTTCTACATCACTGGAGTCCATGTTGCTTATCAACTCATCTATGTCAGTGGCGTTCATGTTGCTTACCAGCTCATCTACATCAGCGGAGTTAATAGTGCTCTCCAACAGGTCTTCTACATCAGCGGAGTCCATGTTGCTTACCAGCTCCTCTATGTCAGTGGTGGTTATGTTGCTTGCCAGCTCATCTAAGTCAGCATCATCGATGGAGTCTGAGTCTTCATCAGAGTCACTGTCTGCCAGCTCAGCCAAGTCAACGTCGTCGTCAGAGTCTGTGTCATCATCTGAGTCGCTGTCTGCCAGGTCGTCTATGTCAGTGGAGATGATGTTGCTCGCCAGCTCATCTACATCAGCAGAGTTAATAGCGCTTTCCAACAGGTCTTCTACATCACTGGAGTCCATGTTGCTTGCCAGCTCATCTACATCAGTGGAGTTCATGTGGCTTGCCAGCTCATCTACATCAGCGGAGTTAATAGTGCTCTCCAGCAGGTCTTCTACATCACTGGAGTCCATGCTGCTTGCTAGCTCATCTACGTCAGTGGAGTTCATGTGGCTTGCTAGCTCATCTACATCGGTGGAGTTAATAGTGCTCTCCAACAGGTCTTCTACATCAGCGGAGTCCATGTTGCTTGCCAGCTCATCTATGTCAGTGGTGGTTATGTTGCTTGCCAGCTCATCTAAGTCAGCATCATCGATGGAGTCTGAGTCTTCGTCAGAGTCACTGTCTGCCAGCTCAGCCAAGTCAGTGTCGTCGTCAGAGTCTGTGTCATCATCAGAGTCGCTGTCTGCTAGGTCGTCTACATCAGCGGAGGTGATATTGCTCACCACCTCATCTACTTCAGTGGAGTTGATGTTGCTCTCCACCAGCTCATCAACATCGGGGTCGGACATTGCGTCTTCAAGAGTGATGCTTTTGAGCAGTTCCATTATTTCAGGGCCGTGCTTGGAAAATGCATCCATTAGAGCCTTCGTGTCATCTTCATCTGTAGATGAAATTGCATCCATAAATAAAAGACAATTCGTCAAACTGTTGTCTGTAAAGAACTTGGCAGGTTTGGTAATTGTATTAAAAATTACACAAGACATTGACTTTCTAACATACATACAGAGTTATGGCATTGCATCAATACATAAGACATCTGGTGCACATATCACACTACTTCAAATATTATGACAACTATCACATCACATCAGATCATCTAGTTACCTGGGTCTACTGCAGCAGCCTTTTTGGCTGGTGCTGCAGTGATCACAACCACCAAAGCAAAGGCCAGCACCAAAATTTGGATCTTCATTTTCTGAAAGAAATCATAAAATCTTACATAAATACTATCAAACGGACTGTGAGCATTTAAGTAACTGACTCTGTTGGGTTTGTGAACGGAGTGAAATAAATGTACTGGACTCACCTTCAGTTTGCATTCACTCTCAGGTCCAAATGACTTAAACTCCAAACAGGAGTATTCTGACTGTCTGACCGATACACCTCAAATTTATACCCTTTTGTCCTAAGTTTGTTTGTACACAGTGATGAGAGCATCCAATGACGTGTCCTGGGTTTGCTAGTCCATGACAAACAATGCCCCAAGGCTAATGATGTACTGCAAATACACTGTATTTTATTTCAGTTTTATTACCTAATGTTAAATAATGATCAGGTGTACAGTATGTTTGGAAGTCCCTAAGTGAAAAAATTGAGAGCCTACTAGCATTGATTATACAGCTGCGGTTTAATATTTGCTTATTTCTAAACATATTTAAAGGTTAAGTGTGTAGGATTAAGTGGCATCTAGAGGGGAGACTGCAGAACAGGAACTTCCTCTGTCAACACAAAAACATTAACACGAATAGCTCTATCTAGAGCCAGGTTTCAGTTTGTCCTTTATGGGCTACTGAAGACAACATGGCGGACTCTGTGAAAGAGGACCCGCTCTGTATGTAGATATAAACAGCGCACTCTATGGTAACAAAAACACAAGGATTCTTATTGTCAGGTGATTTTAAACTAATGAAAATATAGCTGTGGGGCGCTGGTGGCTTAGTGGGTAGAGCAGGCGCCCCATGTACAGCGGCCTGGGCTCGAGTCCAGCCCGTG